CACACACACACACACACACACACACACACACACACACACACACACACCCCCAACCAATCAAACAAACAAACAGGGCTTTCCTGGTGGCGCAGTGGTTGAGAATCTGCCTGCTAATGCAGGGGACACGGGTTCGAGCCCTGGTCTGGGAGGATACCACATGCCGCGGAGCAACTAAGCCCGTGAGCCACAAAACTACTGAGCTTGTGCGTCTGGAGCCTGTGCTCCGCAACAAGAGAGGTCGCGATAGTGAGAGGCCCGCGCACCGCGATGAAGAGTGGCCCCCGCTTGCCACAACTAAAGAAAGCCCTCGCACAGAAACGAAGAACCAACACAGGAAAAATAAATAAACTGCTACCCCCAACATCTTCTAAAAAACAAACAAACAAAAAGCCTACATACACAGACTAGAAAGTGATATGTCAAATTACAGATGGCTACCTCTGGGGAGGGAGGGGGACAAATATCTGTACTGTTTTACCAGTGTGTGCAGCAAATATGGCTAAATGTTAAAATTGGTATATTACTTCTGTACATTTCTTTGAATTATTTCATTAAAAAGCAAATATGGAACTGGTGTTTCGTTGAGATTAAGGAATTACTTTGGATCTGGAAGAAAATCATTTCTCTGTGAAAACTCACCAATAATAGAATAATAACGATATCATGGTAGTTAATGAATGTCTACTCCACATCATGCATCACTCACTCTAGACAGGGTATCTCCGTATCTGCATTATTAAGCATTGGGGGATAATTCTTAGTTGTAAGTGCAGCCCCATTCAGGGCAGGGTGTTGAGAAGTATCCCTGGCTTCCACCCACTAGATGCCAGTAGTACCCCACCTCCACCCGCCAGGTGGTACAAAAATGTCTCCAGATATTGTCAAGTGTCCCTGGGGGTAAAATTATCCCAGGGTTGAAAAATCACTGCTCTAGACCGTTCATTTGATACTAGAGTCTTTTCTCCCAAGTCCAAGGTCGTTAAGTGCTGTCATTCTGCCGCCTGCATTTCAGGGGTCTAAGACTTTAATATGAGGAGGACGACCACAATGATGAACTGACACTAAAAATAATCAACACCTTTTTTTTTTTTTTTTGGCCAAACGCTTAGCATGTGGGTGCTAAGAGTCCCGACCAGGTGCTCTCCCCGGGTCCTCGTCGGTGAAAGCTCAGAGTCCTAACCACTGGACCGCCAGGGAATTCAAATAATAGTCCACACTTTACATCCCACACATTACTTGCTAAATGCACGTACCGTTATGTACGTTCGATTTACAGGCTGGAAATAGGCTCTGAGGCTTAGCAACTTGTCTACTACCACCAGAGAGTTGATTAAGGCTTGGGGCCACGACTGGCGCCCAGCTGAGCAGAAGGTCTGACGGGGCACGAGATAGTAAAAATCAACTGAGAAAGTACCTGCCCTGTCATTCATCATGCTGGGAGGACGGATAAAGCCAGATGCAAAATTATCGGGAAACGTATCCTCCAAGAACACGCTACAGCTGTAAAGTGACAAAACAACTCCCTTTTGAGCCATTCCCGTCTACCTCGCTGAATACTCTGTCCATTAAAAGCACAGCTTCTGACCGAAGTCCAATCAGAAGGAAGACAACGTCCCTCTCCTGCCAGTCAGGCCTGATTCTCTTAGATACCAAGAATCCGTCTCCATCTCCACCCAAGTGCAGGGCTCAGATAAGAGGTTTCCGGACATACAATCCACAGGCATCTTATCTTCTTGGTTCCCAAGGACACAGGGCCTGGGTCCACTCGCCGTCCAGACCCAACGCTGACCCCTCTGCATGGAGCTCAGTTTTGCTCTGAGCCAATGGAAACCAGGATGCATTTACATCTCACCTACACCCACCCTTCCCCAAAATCCTACAGTGAGTCCGACCCGGGTCCTAAGGCCCAGGGGGTCAGAAGGTCCCACGCTAACCAAAACCTCCGGGGCTCAGTCCAGTCCCACCGACCTTCACCCGGGCGGGACCCGGGAATTCAAGCTTTTAAAGACCCCGCCCCCTACTCTTGGAACTGCGCCCCGCCCTCTGACTCATTCCCACCGCCGCCCGCCACTCCTCCAGCCTCGGCCGACGAGCAGACGCGGGGCCAGGACCTGCGGTGGACACAGGAAAAACCTCCCTCTGGAGAAGCAGGCTGGGCCGTGAAGGCAACCGCAGCGCCCGGCGCCCACTCTCCAACCGCCGCCCCCGCTTCCGGCTCCAGGGCTGCTGGGAGCGGAAAAGGGGGCAAGCCTTCGGCTTGGGACTGGTGGAGCCCCGAGGATGGGAGGGCCAACGGCATCCTCCAATCACCGAGCAGAGAGAGGCGATTTCCCCCGCCCCCCCGCGGGACGCGGTTGGGCCCAATGTCCGGCCTCTCGCCGCTAGGTCATTCCTGAAACCAAAATTAAGTTGTGGGCGCGGTTAAGGAGGGATCCGCCTAGTGGGCGTGGTTATCGCCTAAGGAGGCCCGGGGATACTGCTGGGGGCGTGGCCTCCCACTAATCTCTGAGCGCCCAGGTCACTCTGATAAGCAATGGCCGCTCGCATAAGCAATAAATGCTTATTTCTCCGAACATGTTCCTCATGCTAACACACCCGTATAAAAAGACATTCCCATTGTTGGAATGTTTCTCCCCTGAAAGTCTTTTATTTCTTGGGGAAATGGGGTCATATTTTATTCATTTCTCTACGTGTTGCTTTTGTTACTAATATATGCCTTGTGATATCCTATAGTGGCCACTGGATGGCGACCTAGCTCGTGTTTTCACTTTTGTACCTATATGTATTTGTATTGGGTGATGGAAAAATGCATGGGGACTCCTAAAAAAAAATGCTCTTTAAGCATCTCTGTATTCCAGACTCTATTGTCTGCACGGGGGAAGACAGCAGTAAACGAACACAAAAATCGTTGCCCTCCTCCTTCTTAGATTCCAGTGGGGAGGGACAAAAATTAACCATATAAAGAGCATATATAATATAATGTATCCCAATGTGGACAGGAGAGTGGCTCTGAGCACCTGCTGCTTCTGCTGCCTCCCCAGGGCCCTGCACAGATGTTTGTTCCAATCGCACACAGAGAAGCCTCTACTCTGCCCTAACCGCCCCCTCTCCCCTTTTAGGGACCCATCCCCAGCCTTTTTCCAGGTTCTAGGCAGGATGCTTCTCGTACAGGGAGGGCTGCCAGGGTGACTGAGGTGAGGCTGGGACAGGCCTGGGGACTCTGCGAGCAGTTCCTGGCTGTGAACTGTCATCTCAGGCGTTTGGAGAAGTTCAGATGTGCAGTGGATGGTGTCCAGGATGGGCTGCAGCTGGTTTATTTGCATTAAATTAACAGGCTCAATTTGGGGAGAATTGAAAATTCGTATAGGTATCCTTTTTTAAGGGCATGTCTGTCGATTCAGAAACGATAACTTCATCATAATATAGTGTACACAAGTCAGTTCAGAGTGAATTATGGAACTGAATGTAAGAGATAAAACACTAAAACATCCGGAAGAAACACAGGAGAAAAATCTTGGGACTTCCGTGGTGGCGCAGTGGTTGGGACTCCACGCGCCCAATGCAGGGCCCAGGTTCCATCCCTAGCCAGGGAACTAGATCCCACATGCATGCCACAACTAAGAGTTCACATGCCACAGCTAAGGAGCCCACCTGCCGCAACTAAGGAGCCCATCCGCAACGAAGACCCAGCGCAACCAAATAAATAAATAAATATTAAAAAAAAATCTTTGTGACCTTGGGTTAGGCAAAGAATTCTCAGCTAGGATACAAAATGTGGCAAATACACACAATGAAAAGATCAAGTTGGTCATTAAACTTTTAAACATTTGCTCATTGAAAGGCACTATGAAGAAAGCAAGCAGGCAAGCCACAGCAAGAAGATATTTGTGAAACAGACACTGACAAAGTAATTGTATCCACAATATACAAAGAAAGCGTTCAGTGGAGAAAAATAGTGACCACAAGAGGGCGCCCTTTCACTAGCAAAACCTCCTAGTTGGCTGCTTCGAAACAGCCACTGAAGTATTTCAGGATAAAGGAGATGTTACTGAACCAAACTGGGTCTGCTCACCTGCGGGCAGTAAAGCCAGTTTACTGACCCGGGTTGTGGTGAAGGAAAGGGCAGTGTTTATCGCAGGCGCCAAGCCAGAAGTCCAGGAAGCTAGTGCTCAAAAGCCCCAGACTCACTCCCCAATAGTTTTCAGGGAAAGGGTTTTGAAGACGGGGTGAGGGAGGGGGTGGTGTGTGTGCGTGATCAGCTGGTGGTCGTTCTTCTGATTGGTTGGTGGTGAGGTAATCAGGCGTCAACATCATAAACCTGGTTCCAATTGGTCTGGGGTCTACGTGCTTGTGGGCATCATGCAGTTTACTTCATCCACCTAGTGGTTTTTTCAGTATCTCCAAAACAGCTCAAAGGACAAGGCTCAGAATATGATCTATAGCCCTTGAGGAGATACGGAAGGTCCTTGACTTTAATGGCTAAATCATTGCTATTTCGTCTTGCTTGGCTGTTTTACTTTCTTTCTGCATTTTCTCCCTTCTCTGATTGAATTTATTCTTCGGAACTCGAGGAAGGCCTAGGAGGCTAAAGGTTTTTTTACAGACAAGAGGAAGGTGGAGGACATGGTGGGTGGGTTTGTCCTGCAAAGGCCCCATAGGGTCCTGCTTGGTTACAGGGGCACAGAATGCAATTTACAGAGTTAAGGGGGGAAATATGAATAATTTACATATATGTATGTATATATACACAGAGAGAAGATGAAAAAGAAAAAGGGACAAGATATTAACATTGGGGAAAGTGGATGAATGGTATGTTCAGGAGTTCTTGGTCTGATCTTGCAACTTTTCTGTAAGCTTGAAATTATATCAAAATAAAAAGTTATCCCCAAGTAATGTCCTAGTTTGTACTAGAAAGCATATAGATAGCCAACCAGTGATAAAAGAACATGAGTAATCTATTTTAATTGTCCGCGACCATTTGCTTTCATTCTTTTTCCTGGTTTTATTGCTGTGTTTTCCAAGAATATAACTGGTAAGATCATCCCTTTAAGGAATTTTATAATAGCTTATTTGTGGTTGAAAACAGTGGGTCCCAAATGAAGCTACTTCCCTCAGTCACGTGGAAGCTTTTTCTTTTTGGTTTTTCATGCCGAATTTTATTCTCACATGTATTTCCTTAAATAATAAACTAGACACACAGATTGGGACAGTAACAGGAGAAATTCTCCATCATCACGTGGAATCATCATGTCCAGCACTGCAAATCCAGGGAGAGCACAGGTTCTCACACTGGGATGGCCAGACCAACGGCATCAGCTACCCACTCCCCCCACCCCCGGCCTGGCTAGAAATGCAAATTCTCAAGCTCCCCCCGCCCACCAGTAGGGGTTCTTATTCACACACAAGTTTAAGAACCATTGACTCAAAAATATGAAGGTAAATAACCTAAGAAAAGTAACAAACAGCAGACTCCAAGGAACCCCACCGAGGACACGGCAGGGGATGCTCATTTGTCATTTGAGATCTTTGGGTTCCATTTGCTTCACTTTATTTTGTGTTTATATTTTTTAAATTGAAATCTAGTTGCTTTACAATATATTAGCGTCAGGTGTACAGCATTGTGATTCAGTATTATTACAGATTACACTCTTAAAAGTTATTACCGGGGCTTCCCTGGTGGCGCAGTGGTTGGGAGTCCGCCTGCCGATGCAGGGGACGCGGGTTCGTGCCCCGGTCCGGGCGGATCCCACATGCCGCGGAGCGGCTGGTCCCGTGGGCCATGGCCGCTGAGCCTGCGCGTCCGGAGCCTGTGCTCCGCAGCGGGAGAGGCCACAGCAGTGAGAGGCCCGTGTGCCGCAAAAAAAAAAAAAAAAGTTATTACCAAAGAATGGATTTATTTCATGTTTAGAAGCAACGTGTCAGTGTACTTCTTTGGTGGAACATTATTTTAAAGTATCCTAGATGCTAGATAATAGAAAGATGGATAAACAGAGGAACTGAAGGGTCAGGGCTCCACCCACCACAACGACCCAGATCCATCTGACTCTGTGATTCTGGCGTCCCATCTCAGAGGATGGGCAGAGATGAGCCTCTAAATCAGAACTGGAGGTGGACAGCCTAGAGGCTGATGAGGGAAAGCTGGCATCTGGCTACCAGGAGATCCCTTCTGAGAAGGAAGAAGTTCCTACCACCGTGAATCCCCTAATGTGAAAGGTTTCCCACTGAAGCAACTGGGCCCTCAGGCACTGCTGGGAAGGAGGGAACCACTCAAAACGGACAAAAGGGACATTTCTGAGGTGATGGAAAGTTGCTCAAATTGGATTGTGGTGATGGTTGTACAATTGGACAAATTTACTAAAAATCAAGGAACCCTGTGCTTAAAACACAGGTCAACTCACATTTTGTACACGTCAATGAAGCTGTAATAAAAAGTTTCCCCAGAAGAGGGCGCCAGAGACCACAAATTCAACTCAGAACATGCCTTGGGTATGAGATCTACGGCCACCTTCCTCTCTTTCCACCTCATAAAGGGAGTGAGCTGGACCCCCAGGAAGGTGTTCTGCAGCCTCTCCACACCGTGGGGGTCTCGCTGGGCTAAAGCCACCACCTTCCTTTAGATGATGCCATTGGAGTGAACAACTGGCCAACTGGGAGTTTGCCCGTAAGCCCTCAGCAGCCTAAAATGCCTGGTTTAACCAACCTTAGTCCCGCTGAGCCTTAAATGTACACCAGGGGGCTGGATGGACAAGTCAGTTAAGCACGTGACACGGAGGGGTGATGTTGGGACATCACCTGGGTCACATCCCTTCACCAAGTCACAGCGGAGGGGTCTTTACAGGGCAAAGTATGAATTGGGATGAATTGACAATATGGGATGTAACAAGGAGGCCAGGGCTTGGCCATCAAAAGACCACCTCAGGGGACTTCCCTGGTGGTCCAGTGGTTAAGACTCTGCGCTCCCAGTGCAGGGGGCCTGGGTTCGATCCCTGATCAGGGAACTAGATCCCTCATGCCGCAAATAAGACCCAGTGCAGCCAAATAAAAAAGAAAGAAAGACAAAAAAGACAACCTCAGTACCACCACCCTGCCCAGCCCTGGTGGGGAAAAGTCAGAGGACGCAGAGCTTCCTGTGGGGGGCCATCTTGGACCCCCACCTGCGACCCAGCCATCTGGGAGAAATAAGCCCCCCAAAAATGCACTTGGAGGAACACAAGAGTCATCCACCCAGCCACCCTTTCAGCCACCCTTTCAGCCACGCATGGACAGCACGGACAAGAAAGAATTAAATAGGGACTTCCCTGTGGTCCAGTGGTTAAGAATCCTCCTTCCAATGCAGGGGACGCGGGTTCGATCCCTGGTCAGGGAACTAAGATCCCACATGCCGTGA